TGAACGTTGAGATTTTATAGTCAGTTCTGTATAATTGGCCGTATTGTCGGTTAAATTGTTGTCATTTAAGTTTAGTATGTGGGTTCCACGTTAGTCTTTGGTCTAAAGTAAAGCCAAGATACCAAACTGTGTATGAAAAAGGAAGCTGCATGGAATTAAATTGGACTGATGGACAGGAACTGCACCGGAGTGTAAAGGTAATATGTTTGGATTTGGATTCGTTTACTTTGATGCGCCATTTATTACACCAGAGCCCAATCAGGGAGAGGTTTAAAGATGCTATTTCGGGATCTGAGTTGGATGATAGGATGGCGGTGTCATCAGCAAATGTTGCCAGAAAGGTATTGGGATGGACAGGGATATCAACAGTAAAAAGGATATAAAGGACGGGGCCCAAGACGCTACCTTGAGGTGTTCCTCCCGGCTTCAACTGGGTAGGAATTGGAAAATTTTCTACCACAGCGAACTCGAAAGGTGCGATCAGAGAGGTAGGAGCGGAGGATTAGGTTTAAGGACTGCGGAAGATAGGTTTTCAGCTTGGAAAGAAATCCGGCGTGCCATAGCCGGTCAAAAGCTTGAGCTATGTCCATAAATGCACACGAGCAATATTGCTTGCTTTTCAGTGCTGCGGAAATATGATCGACCACTCGGAGTTGTTGTTGGACTGCGGAGCGTTGTGAGCTAAATTTGAACTGATGGGAAGGAAGATTTTGGGATTCTATTAAGGGTAGGATTCATTTTAGGAGGATCTTTCCAAAGATTTTTTTGAGGATTGGAAGAAGGCTAATTGGTCTGTAGGACGTCGAGGTGTTGGGAGGTTTGCCTGGTTTTTGAAATAGGACGATAGTGGAATGTTTTGATAATAGTGGAAAAAAGAGGAAAGTGGGTGGTTCTTAAGGAAGGTATTATATAAGTAGGTGAGCAATATAACAGCTTTAGGAGGAAGTTGTCGAAGGATTTGAGAGGTAAAGAGGTCGTATCCAGGAGATTTACGGAGAGAGGAAGTTTTTGTAAGTGATGTTTGACCTCAGAAGGATTAACTGCTTTAGGAGGCCAGAAAAGTGGAATGGGTGATGTAAGGAATTCTTCTACTGTTGTGGTATGGGTGGGGTTGGATTCCGGATGAGAGGTGAATGTTCTGGAGAGGTGTCTGGCAAATTCTTCATCAGACGCTGCCCAGGAGCCATCGCATTGACGGAGGGGATGGGATTTTAGGTTTTTGTTGGTGATCTTCCATAGAGAATTGTCATGAACAGAAATCGAATTAAGGTAGGAGTTGAAGGATTGAGATTTGAAGGTGGCCGATTCCTGCTTTAATCGTTTACTGAAATAAATATAATAGAAGCGGCGATTGGTGGGTTGTCTGGAACGTTGCCATAATATTCTGGCACAGCGTTTGATGTGAATTAGGTCTAGCAGGTATTGAAGTAAATTATTTTTCTTACAAATTTTTGAGGAGAGATTTGGGGAGGAAGCAGTCCAGATTGCTTGCAGCATTATCGAGGTCTTCTGGATTTTTCAGGGTTATTCTGAGGTCAATTTTAATGCAAAGGATTTGATCAAAGAGTTTCCAGTTAACTGGGCCTCTGATGAAGGATGGTGAAGGGGGTTTAGGAATAGGAGCTATTGATAATTGAAGCATTAATGGACTATGATCTGAGGAAAGTTCGTCAAGACGGGTAAGGGAATGATTGAGGGGACCTAAACCACTGTCAATGAAAAAATTAAGGATATCAGGATTGCAGTTAGGATCAGTGGGCCAGTAGGTTGGTGAGTTGGGTGGAAGGAGACCAAAACGTTGGGAATTGAGTATGGGAATTGACAGAAATGTTCTCCCACGAGAATTCTTGATGCTTGGCATTTAAGTCTGCACCAAGGGTGAAATGATGACCTAAGGAGTTGAGGAGAAAACTGAACTGGATTTGGATATGGATCTGTTAGGAGGGCAATATGCTGATGCAAGGGTGACTGGAAAGGAGAAGGTTTTGATTACAATAGCGGTTGACTGTAGGAAATCTTGAGTAGGTAATGGGAGTAAGTGATGAGAGAGGGAATGGTGTATGATGACAGCTTGCTGGGTTGCTGGGTGCTATAACTTGTCAATGTTATAGGGTGAATTTTTGTTGAAGGGAGGAAGGTCGTTCTCGACTATTTTTGTCTGATCTTTGCCGAACAAACGTGAACTTATTTGTTTTTGCAGACATACACTCAGCAATTAACAATTTTTTTTTCTCTTTAATCTATAAACAAAATAAATATTTATGCTAGGTCAGTGCCAGCCTTAGGACCCGGCAATCACCCGGGGATGCAGATCTTGGGGAGTAATGGGATTTGTATTATTATTGTATCTGATTTTTTCGAAATCATAAATAGTAAAATATGCAATTTATAAATGTGTAACTCATCCACATTTTTGTATTCGATGATGCTCAACATTCCCGTTAATCCAATCCGCAAATACTAAAGGATTACTGAATTTTGAAAACGGCTTCTCCTAAAGTTTTTTTTTTTTTTCTCAAGTGAAATATTATAGACCTATAGCCTAGCATCGCCGCTTTCAACGGTTCAATGGGTGGAATGGAACAAAGAAAATCTGGTCTGAGGCAGATCTTCCTTTTCTAAATCCACTCTGGTATGGACCGAGTTCATGCTCAGCATATGATAAAAGACGACCAGGCAGAATATGAGATAGTATCTTATAGGCGTAAGACAGTAGCGAGATACCTCAATAATTGCTGAACAGCAGCCTATCATGCTTTTTATATATAGGACAGATAATTCACCTATTCTAATCAGAGGGCATCACCTCATCTGTCCATATAACCAAGAGAAGATCCTTTAGTACTTCGTTAAGCTTGTTTCCACCACATTTCAAGAGTTCAGCAGGGAGTGTGTCAACACCAGGGGCCTCATTATTTTTTAATTTTCTGATATAGAGCGCTACCATTGGGTAGTTACTCAGCAAGTGTTTTTCATGTCATTATATACATTATGTTATAATTTACTAGATGTATTTATCTAATACAGTTGTAAATGTCTTTAAGAAATAAAAAAATAAATAAAAATTTCTGATGGCATTACAGGTGTTTTCTGCCCTAATTGAGTTGAAAAGATCATTGAAGTAATTCCTCCGTTTGTCCAGAACATCAGACTTGTTGGTCACCAAGTTACCTTCATTATCCTAACAGGATATCAGTTTATTAACAGATTGCTTTCTTCCGTTGTTGGCCGATCTGAAGAAATCTCTACTTTCTTTGTTCCAAAATTTCATAGAAAGGACTCTGGATTTTTCTTCTTCTGAACTTTTCTTCTTCATGAGACACCTCTGCGGAGGCATATACCCTTAGGAGGCTATAGTTATAAAACTTTCCATGCATTCTTATGGGACAGATTCTTGGGCTCACTCGTTTAAATCCTACTATCGTCTGTCTGTACTTTCCCTTTAAGACAAATCTTGTACCGAATTCATGACAGCCGTAGTAGATCCATCTGATCTCTTGGATAGCACCTTTGTCAATCTCTTACCTGCCAAGTTGATCTAAGAACAGCTTAAATGCATAACCTTAAGGCTTCAATGCATAAGCTTTAAGGCACCTGAAGAGTTCCCTATAATTTTTAGAAATATTTCTCCTGTTTAAATATTAAAAAAATAGAAAGTAAAAAATAGGGATCGACCTATATAGAAATTTTGGCCTATAATTAATTGGCGATTAATTTTCCAATACTGGTATTTCAAAGGCCGATATTATTGTCCATATCGACCTTTTTTTTCTCCTTTCCGTCAATATTTGTGCAGTTTTACATGGAATGTCCTATATATTGCTAAATAAATAATCTACACATTGGTTTATACACAAACTTTGGCTGATAAAAGAGCTATAAAACTATATATCAGGATATCGCCATTTCGTTCCTATCAGTCAAGATAGGTACGGTGTTGAAGTTCAATCAATCTGAATTGAGGTTGTAAGGCCGCTATATAGGTCCAAGGGGAAGAAAAAAAATCGGAGGAAAAAGAGGACAAAAAAATCAAATTCTATCAATCTCGATAAAATAAGGCCATAAGGCTGATATATTGGTCTTCAGGTTTATTAGGAAGCTCTTTCAATCTTGATAAAGTAAGGTCGTAAGGCTGATTGGTTCATAAGGCCGATAAATCAGTATTTGCTCAAATTTGTGACAGGAGAGGACAAACAAAAATTAGTTTAAAGAGGAGGGAGAAAAAAAAGGAATATAAACAATAAAATGAGTTCATAAGGCCATAAATATTGGTATTTGTTCAAATTCGTGGAAGAGGGGAAACAAAATTCAGAAGAAGAAAAAAAAAAAAATATATATAAACAATAAAATGAGTTTATAGGATGATATATCGGTATTTGGGTAAAATAAACAACAACAAAATTTATATAAAAGGGAGAAAAAAAATAAAAATAATATAAAAAATAAAATGAGTTCATAAGGCCGATACATCAGTATTTGGAATATTGGTTTCAGACCATCAATATTGGTCCCTTTGACTTTGAGAAAGTAGCCAGCCCAGTTTAAGTATTTGGGGTCATTGGTAACTCAAAACAATGCACCTGAGGTTGAGGTCAAGAAAAGAATATTGATGGCCAACAAGTGTTACTTTGCTCTTCGCAAGGAATTCAGCTCTCGCTTCCTATCCCAGCAGACCAAGCTCCATCTTTACAAAACATTAATCCGCCCAGTCCTGCTGTATTTATCTGAAATGTGGAAGACAACTAAAAAAAATGGGCAAGACCTCCTAGTAATTGAGAGCAAAATTCTTCAAAGAATATTTGGAGGATTACAGATCGATACAAGTCAACAATAATGGCAAAATAATTCTCAGTTTTTGTGTTGGAAATGCATTAAAAATCGCAAACACTCTCTTCCCAATTAGAAAAATCCATAGATTCACCAGAGAAGAGTCAGGAAAAAGTGAAAGATCTATAATAGATTATTTTTTAATAAGAAAAGAAGAGGTTGGTGAAGATCCAATGGATGCACAAGAGTCAAGAGAGAGTATGAGATCAGAAGCGATCACTACCTCCTGGTGCTGGACAGACTGTGGAATGAAGAAACTCCTCGGAAAAGGCACCATGAGAAGGATAAAAAGAAGATAATAAAGTCATAAGGCTAAAAGAAGAAGAAATGGCTCAACACTTCCAAGAAGAAATCAATAAGATGGCAAGAGAGTCTAACAACCCATGGGATAGTGATGACGTAGAGCAGAGCTGGTTATCATTTAAGAAAATTATTCTCGATGCTGCTAGACTGGTATGCGGAGAGAAAAGGGCAGGATCTAGGTTTAAAAGAAGTCCGATTATGTCAAGAAGACGGTCCAGGAAAAGAAGAAAGCATGGAGGGACTTCTTTAGCCAGAGAACACCTGCAGCCCATGAAAAGTACAAGGAAAGAAGGAACGAGGCCAAGATAAAAGTTCTTCAAGCCAAACTAAAATCATGGGAAGATTTTGGTCACAGAATAAAGAAAAATGCAAAAGAGAACCAAAAGATCTTCTACAAAGTTATAAAAGGAAAGGCCGAATTCTCTCAAAGGAATCAAGGATAAAGAAGGAAAGATTTTATGGCATGAAGAAGATATAATAGAAAGATGGAGAGAGTACTTCAAGGAGCTGCTGGAAGGGAGAAACGTTAGTCTGGATGAGATCCACAATGCGGAGACGGAGTATTCGGAATAAGATGATTTTATCAGCGGGAAGAACTGCAGGAAGCTATCTCTAAGATGAAGTTGGGAAAGTCTGCAGGGCTTGATGAAATAACTCCCGAAATGATGTGGTACATGGGCAGTAAAGGTGAAGAAATGTTTCTCCACCTCTTAAATCTGATTTGGCATAGGAAAAGGATACCGAAGGACTGGGAGATAGCTGTGGTGGTGCCAATTTACAAGAAAGGGGACAATAGAGAATGTAATAATCATCGAGGCATATCTCTGCTCAGTGTGTCAAGTAAGCTTTATTCAAAAATCCTTGAAGCAAGGGTAAGAAGAGTGGTCGAATGCCAGATCAGAGAGGAGCAGTATGGATTCAGAAACTCGAGGAGTACACAGGACCTGATTTTCACTTTGAGGCAGGTCATAGAGAAGTCCATCAAGAAAGGGAAAGAACTTTCTGTCTGTTTCATGGATCTTGAAAATGCATTTGATAAAGTCAAAAATGAGGATATAGAGCGAGCTCTGTCTGAAAGACAAGTTGACATCGGCACATCCTGGCTGTTAGGAGTCAGGATCGAAAGACCAGAAATATTATAAGGACTGGCAACCACACATCCAAGGAGTTTGAAACGACCCAGGGAATATGATAGGGAAGCAGCTTAAGTCCCCTACTTTTCATACTGGTACTGGATCAAGCATTGAGGAGAGCTAAACCCAGACTGTGGCATTTTCAACTGGGATAAAGGAGTCTATAGCCTACTTTCTACAGAGTCCTCCCATTTGCCGATGATCTTGTTATATTCGCTGCGGATGACCGGGACCAATAATACAACGTAATTATCATACAAAAAGAGCTGTCTAGCATTAACATGGATATTAATCCATAGAAAACAAAATGCATGAGAATAGGGAGACGTCTCTGCCGAATTATGAGAATATTGAGGTTGAAAGGACAGATCCTGGAACAGGTGCGAATATCTAGGCGCATGCATCAACGAAAGTGGCTATATCGTTGGAGAGGTGTCGCAAAGGCTGGGAGCAGCAGAATGTTCCACTCAATCCAGAAAGGTTTCCTCAACAAAAGAGAAGTGACAAAGAAAACAAAGATATCCATCTACAATTCAACGTTCCCACCCATCCTCTCTTACTCCTCCGAATCATGGACCCTTACCTCAAAACGCAAGGGGCAGATCCAGACAATGGAGATGAGGTACCTAAGAAAAAGGTTGAGGGAAAGACCAGGAGAGATAGGATCTGCAATACTACAATAAGATCAAACCTTGAGGTAAAGCCGGTAGAAACCACTCTAGAAGAGAATAAACTTAGATGGTTTGGGCACCTCCTAAGAATGAACATGGAAAAAATGGCCAGGATAACATATGAGACGAGAGTGGATGGTAGAAGATCAAGAGGAAGACCACGAATCACCTGGGAAGAAGGCGTGCGGGAAGCATTCAGGAAGAGAGGGTTGGACTGGAGCAGAAGGAGAGAGCTGGTATAGGAGAGGAACACATGGGTCAAGCTCTATATAGGACATCCCCACACTGTGCAGCGGTAGAGAGAGAAAGGATTATGATGATGACAGATCGATGGAAATTAGAGAAGGCGAACAAACGTCAAAATTTACTGAACTTTTACTAAACAAAATGTCATTCAGAGAATGTACAAACATTACTAGAGGAAACAAAGACTCGAGTGGTAGCCCCATGATAGACAGATAGATGGAATATTGGTATTTGCTCAAATTTGAGGCAGGGTAGGACGAAAAAAATTCAGAGAAAGGGGAAGAAAAAAAAATATATGAACTTTGCTTTTCCCTTAAAAATCTTTAGTCTATAAGGCCGCTTCAGAAATAATATTATATTTGGGAAATAGCAACATTATGAGAAAAATTTAAACCAATCGACATAGCAATGAGGGGGTAAATATTTTTTAGTGAGAGAAATAAAATTGATTTTCATAATTCAAAAAACTCTTAAATATAAATTTTTATAGCAATCAAAACATTAAAACTTTTGCAAAAAGTTTTTGCCAAGATTGGACCCTTCATAATTTTAAATATTTTGAATAGATTCCTCATAAAATTATAAAAAGGAACAAAAATAAATCAAAGATTTCAAATAATCTGTTATTATAGGTGTTAGGGCCAGGAGTATTTTAAAATTAAAATACAAATCTTTCCCCATTGAGTTTCCTCAAAAGTGGGGAAAATACGAGTAAAATTAAATGAAGAAAAAAAACAAAGGGAACAAAGGTAAAAATGAGATCTATAAAACATGAAAAAAATTTGCATGCAAATAAAATAATATACAAGAAATCAATAATGGAAAATAAAGAATCCCCCTTTTGAATGTTTACAAGGTTTATCATATTAAAATAAAAAATATATATACAAAATTTAAAACAAGCAAATAGTGGTATAAAGGTTCACTGAAATAAATAAAAACACAAAATATAATATTCAGTGAAAAAATAAAAAAATTGTCCATTCAAAACAAAAAAAAAAAAAAATAAAATAAACTTCTATAATAAAGATTAAAACCAAGAGAAAAAAATAACTTCAAAGAGAACAAAACCAAATTAATGTTTAAATGTCTTTAGGAGACGGTAGAGAATAAAAAAAAACAATCCAAGTTGGAAGCTCTACTTCCAACCAGGTTACCTCCGTACGATGTCAAGCAGTCGATGGTGGGGAGTATCGAGTCGATAGGCCTATTGATCTTGATCGATGACTAATACCCAATATTTAAACAATATACATTTTAGGGACAACTATTCTGACTATTAAAAAAAATAAATAAATAAACATTTATTTAATCAACATTAAAAAAGGGATTAATGGTGAGAAAAAATAATAATAAAAAAAATAAAGATATAAGTGCATGCAGCGTTAACAATAGCTGTTTCAATGAGTTTTAATCCATAAATGATCCATTTTCTGATCTCATTATAGAGTGAATGGTTTAATATTCATTGACCCATAATATAAAAAGAGTCCATTGCATTTAATAATCCCTGGAAATTTTGTGCATAGCAAAAAATGAGTAATACCTCAAATGTCAGTTTATTATAGTAATATACGCCTGTTTAAATATTTCATCGAAATGTTAAGTTCTAATAAATATTTTCATGAGCTACTGACTAAATCAAATTAAAGTTTTATATATATATATATATATATATATATATATATATATATATATATATATATATATATATATATATATATATATAAACGCATTGTCTAAGCATATTTGGACTGAAAACCACAATTTATAATGAAAAATCATTAATGAAAGATAGAAAAAACAATATATATATATATATATATATATGTGTGTGTGTGTGTGTGTGTATTACCTGTACATAATGCTAGATATGATGAGACCAATAAGCCAATGATAAACAGAAGATTTAAATTCTTCTTTAACAAATTGTGTTAATACTTCAATGAAATAGTCCAAAATAACACCTGTTAACAATAAAAATGGGTTAACAATAAATAACATTTGACATCTAATAGTTACAACATTGTGTTAAGAAGTTTTTATTTTATTTTATTTATTTATTTTGTATTTTTATTTCATCTTCATTTTTTTTTACCTTCTTCATCAGTATTATTTATTTACTTCTTATATTCATATTTATTTCTTTATTATTTGTATATATTCTATGAATGAGAACTTTTAGCCTTAATGCGTATAGCCCTCCAGCAGTGGCTGATTGTATTATTATTCAATAAATAGATTTAAAAAAAAAAGTTACAATAACTTAAATTCATATTTTCAACCAACCTAAGTAATAACTTTGACACATTGTTAACAAAATGTCTAATTGCTTCCTTATATTTGAATCGCTGAGTTGAGAAACCCTGTAAATTGCTTTTTGAGGGATATTTAAAGTAAGGCAAGTTTCCATTCTGTTACCATACACATGTGTTATATGATGATAACTCAATAAGTCTGAGCATTTTTGCTGTTAATGATGGCTAGTTATCTATCATTTAGTTGAGAAACGCCTCAACCCTTTATAGAACAAAATTTCGAGAAAACATTTTCACATTTTTTCATTCAAATCAAATTGAACTAACATGTTTTAATTAGTTTTAACCATATATATACAAATATAGCTTTTGAGCATTGGTAGCTATACTCACTACTACCTGTTTCAAAACTTTTTTGCTCTAATAAGTAAGTACATTAAAATACATCATCAGAATCATAACAAAAATCTATGGTATAGAAAATGAATATGATATTACTACTAAAAAAAAATATATATATTTTAAAAAAAATTAAAATTTTGTTTTACTACTTAGAAATACTAAAGGAATAACTAAAAAATAATTTGAAAATATTATAGAATAAATCATTTATACAATAAACAATTATTAAATGATTACTTAAATAAATAATTGAAGGTCTTGTGGAAACGTTTCGTTTGACCAGCCCTGATGAAGGCCTAAACTTTGGGCCGAAGCATCAGCAAAAATAAAAATAAATATATTTATTTATTTTTACCTTTTTTTTTTTTTACTGATCATTCCAACCAATCTTCTCTTCAATTATTTGCTACAGTCAACCACCACTCCACAATTATGAATATACAATAAATAATTATTAACTACTAGTGAAACAAAGATAATAAAAATGAAATAACAAAAAAGTAAATAATAACTATTTAATATATACTATATATTAAAAGGAATAACTAAGATGTACAATAAATAATATTAAATATAGAAAAAATATTAATGAATAAAAT